GAACAATAGACTCTACCCGCTTTTCACCTTTCCAATGTAAACTTCTGCCTGAATGCTTCCCTAATTGAAACCTGCTTTGGTCGGTATTAAAAATGCTGCTGCAATCACGGCGTTGTAAATACATGTTTGCATCCACGACAAAACTCTTTGGACGTTTCTAAGTATTTCTCGGGGCGTCCCATTCGAGTCGAGACCGCGAGGAATCTCACGAACAAAATTGATTTATTAAATGAAACATTTCACGAACGTTTCCCCGAACTCTTCGATATTTCTGATTTTCGTATCTCGTATTATCTAAAGTGTCATTCGTTAAATGTGTGTGTATACGCGACGAATTTTCAAAATAAATTTTCCCAAGAATGAGACATCGTACGAAAAAATTTTATTATTCTGTTTGACAGACGGAATCGTGCAATTTGAAATTCGTAAAAACTGTTTCCATAATGGAACGGTGTTGATTTTGACGGGTAAGATTTTGTGCAAAATTCTATATCGTTGAGAATTATGTCAAGGGTTACTTTTTTTTACAGATATTTTTTATAGATTTATCATACATATGCCAGCTATGGAAGACAATTCCCTCGTACGTTTCTATCATTTTCAACGTCACGACACGACGTACCGTAGGCTCACACACAACGAAGAAGCTTATGGAAAATGTCACAGGACGGATCCCTCGAACAAAGGACTTCCTGTGCATCATCCTTGTCATGTCTGTTTACATGATGATTGCACCAGACTCGTGGGCGTTACGAAATAAGAAAATCATTTCCTTAATGTCGATAATATTCGAACTATTATAACTTTGAATGAGAAAATGACCTCTCTGGGATCCTCTCAAAGGTAGAACCTCCTATTTACGTTAAATAACGACTAAAGAAGATGGTTTAAGTGATCCATCACGAAAAAGTGATCTAATTACAATTTTTTAAACAACCATGAGTTGGAAGCCTAAAATCTTCATTGCAAGATAATCAAGAGAGAAGGAAATTCAGAGATCCAAAGTGTAACGTCTTCAGTTTCAGTTGATGTTCAGTTACCTCGCAAATACCATCAATTCTGTTTCGTTCTACAATCGAGAAACAGTTTACGTTACTTGGCGAATCACTTTAGAATATTGCGTTGTATCTTCCGTGAATTATTTACTTTTCTCGCAATCAACGGGACCGATCTGGCCTATTGTGCGCGTAACAGCTTCAACAAACTGTACGTAGACGCGGCGAGCTTTCATCGATTGGAAATAGAACGCAGGAGCCGAAAGCGTTTGTTTAATAGGGTACGTTTGGCACTCGTTTCACTCGGAAGAAACCACTATTGGAATCGATGCTCCGACACCGGGTTTGGCAGGTTGAAACCGTCCACGGGGCGCTTATCGCCGCGTCTCAAAAGACGAAAGCCGAAAAGCTCGAGCGGTGGATCGGGAAATGAAATCCTGAACGCGGTCGCACCACGGAAATCCGACGGCTGACTGGAGAATTCACAGACGTGCGCCTTTAATTTAAAGTCGCCCAGCATCTTCGACCTCGCCCGTTACGTGTGTGTGCATTTGTCTCTCGTCTAACGTGTGTTTTTAGGACACGCGATGGATCGAAAATGCTGTTTACGCGCCTGGATTTTATTTTTATAATATTATCGGATTAATTTTCAAGTCGTTCGTAAAGGATCCTTTTTGACTGCCAGATCGAACCCCTCGAATTGTCCACGTAAACGAAACTTTGTTTTATAGACATTTGCTTTTACAGCTTCGTTAATTTAATTTAATCTTGAGCTTCTGGGTGAAAAGTCATGTCACCCATATATGAACGACAGAAACGTCAGTTATTGATTTGTTTCAAATATTACAATATTTATTACAATATTTAGAGCACAAGCAATTAGTATAATTATACGTCAACCTTTAATTTATTTGCATTATACGATAATTTAAAATATAAAGGTTAAGATTGCGAGATTAATTTTTTAGCTTTATATGTGTGCATTTATCTCTCGTCCAACGTGTGTTTTTAGGACACGCGATGGATCGAAAATGCTGTTTACGCGCCTGGATTTTATTTTTATAATATTATCGTATTAATTTTCAAGTCGTTCGTAAAGGATCCTTTTTGACTGCCAGATCGAACCCCTCGAATTGTCCACGTAAACGAAACTTTGTTTTTTAGACATTTGCTTTTACAGCTTTGTTAATTTAGTCTAATCTTGAGATTAATTTTTTTAGCTTCTTGGTGAAAAGTCATGTCACCCATATATGAATGATAGAAGCGTCAGTTATTGATTCGTTTAAAATATTACAATATTTAGAGCACAAACAATTAGTATAATTATGCGTCAACCCTTAACCCTTTGCACTCCTATGTCGAGTGTGATTCGACATCAATTTTTATCTCGGGAGCTCCTTTGTCGAGTGTGATTCGACATCAATTTTTATCTCGGGAGCTCCTTTGTCGAGTTCCAGTCGACACTTTTTCAAATCCAAACCAAAGAGATATCTTGAAAATTACAAAATGCAACAACAGTGTAAATAAAACAGATATTTTAACCGGTAAATTTCAAATAAAACACTTAACTCGATTGAGTCACTTCATTTTAAAATATCACTATAGTCAATTTGTATTATCCAACTAAAAATTAACTTTTCTTATTATTAAATAACTTTTTTTTATACCATAAGGCTATTTCATAAGAATTTCATTGTGTTTCATTTTAAGATATCACTATAGTCAATTTTTATTATAAAACTAATAATTATACATAATTATTAATAATTTTTTTTTTGTTGGGAGCTGCTGGTAACAAAATTGAAATATAATTCGGAGTGCAAAGGGTTAAGCCATTTGCGCTATATTATAATTTAAAATATAAAGGTTAAGAATACGATTAAATTACTTACGATTTAGACAATGTTTTTACATTTATTTTCAACGTCAAGATAGATAAAATATTGCCATTCGAAGGGAAAGTTTGCACCAGGGGAATTTAAACCCGGATAAAAGTAAAATACCAAATTGCAGCTGCTTTACGATTCTTGATGGTAAAGTAGAGTTATCGGCGAGCGTAATTTCCGAGTCGTTGAATTCAAAATGCATTGCTATATATTCGGCTAATATTGTGCACAGGATTTCCGGTACGTACAGACCTTTAATCCCATAACGAGTTCATTGAAATATAGGTTGTCCAGTCTCCGACCTTCCCCTTGCAAGTTTTCACCCTCCGAGCGAGCACACATGGTTATTGGAATTTTTCCAGTGAGACTTCTACAGCAAAATGTACTTTTCCGCGCCATATTTCATCCACATTTACGAATATTAAAGCACCACAGTGAAACATAATTCCTCGTTACAGAATTAAATAGATATTATCGGGCCGAGTGGAGAATCGTAAAGCTGAGAATTCAAAAATTCTTCGATTATCGATAACAGATATCTCACATTAAAGCGCGCGAGTTTAAAATGATATTTTTCTGACATTTTTAGTTCCGACAGCGTGTATTAATTTATACGAAGTTTCATCTTCGCGTTAGTGATTGAAACGTGTAATCGCATGAAGTACAATGAAACAGAATCAAAGTGGAAACGTCGATACCTCGCGCTAATGAGGTACTAGCAAAATTGATTACCGGGCGTCCAAGTACAATAACAAGAACTAACAAACCGCGGTAAGTGGTTAAACGCGGTCGTGGTGTGGAATTATATGTAACGTTTTAAGAATGTTTATAATATTTTATCGAAGAAAATATCTGAATCGATGTCGTCCGTTTAATTAAATTAAGAACGTTGCTCATATTTGTATCGAAATCTTCCCAGCCCTTTTAATTCGAATATAGAATCGTCTCATTACATCGTTTCGACAAATAATATTTAAGAGTTCTGTAACTTCAAATATAGAATCTGAAACCCCTAAAATCGAGTTTAAAATTGAAATTAAAAAGCCTTATTTTTAGACTTTAAATTCCAATAAACTTACGATACTCGTATTTTCCGAAATAATTTTGTGGACGTTAAAAAAAGGAAGAATGGTAATAGTATAGTTTCGGTTCTTTCTAAGAATCATTCGAAGTGAAAGTTTTTCGTGACTGTTTTGAGACCTCAAATCTATATTATAACAGTTTCCAAGCCCTGAGTTTCATAAAGAAGAGGTAGAGTGTAATTCTGTGTTATATCGAGGTAAATTTACGAACGTTGATCATATTTTTATCGAAATCTTCCCTGCCCTTTTAATTCGAATATAGCATCGTCTCATTACATCGATTCGACAAATAATATTTAAGAGTTCTGTAACTTCAAATATAGAATCTGAAACCCCTAAAATCGAGTTTAAAATTGAAATTAAAAAGCCTTATTTTTAGACTTTAAATTCCAATAAACTTACGATACTCGTATTTTCCGAAATAGTTTCGTGAACGTTGAAAAAAGAAAGAAACAGTTATTTGGAATGAAAGTTCTTCGTGACTGTTTCGAGAACCTAAATCTGATAAAGAGGTAGATTCTGCGTCGTAGCGTTAAGTGCTCAAGCCAGAGGCCTATAACCTTCTTGACCCCAAGGTCATGAACGTATTCTCCCTGACGTACCAGGGGTTTATTAGAGTCGGAACAGTTAGGCCCCTCTTCGTTATTATTTGAATCACGGAGGCACGCGTATGGGAGGTATGCTCGTCACTAATGGCGCAAGAAACTTTTTCTCTGGGATCCATGTTGACAGAGCTTAGGACAACACCCCCAGGGGCGTGTACCTCGAGAGAAGTATACCGTTTGCGAATAATTATACTTCCAAACGCTTTGGGCGTAACGTCTCGCATGGAAGCCGGTTCTTTTTTTGAAAAATTTTTCGTTACTAGGTCAGACTTAAAAATAAAAAAACTTACGATACATCGGGTGTATGCAAAAAGTTTTATGGCCATTCGATGAACCCGCGAATCCTTTTTCGTTTGAAATATTTCCAACGTCCGTGTATGCACGAAATTTATTAATTTCAAATTGAACTTTTCGGATTGTTTGGTCACTCACCCATGTCGTCTATGATCGGTGCCATCCTCAGGGTCACTCCAACCAACAGCAAAGACATAGCGAGAAGCAGACAAGCTGTCGCGACGATCGTCCAACGTGCTCGCGGAGGAAGTTCTTCGGGATCGACGAGCTCCTCTCGAGGGCCTGTGTTGTTAACCTTATGCCGTTTCCGTTTCCGCTTTTTGCGGGGTCGATGATACTTCTCCCGAGGTTCCTCGACCTTCTCGATCCCACTCAGGATCTCTTCCTCTTCTAACTCGTCAGCTACGTTTAACGCCACGTAGTTGTCGTCGTTGTCGTAGTGGATCTTTCTGCAAGAATGAGAAAACGCTTACGAGTTACGTTTACCCCTTTCTCGTCCATAAATTCGGCAGGATTCGCGCGTTTTCATGGAAATTCATTTTCACTGGCGAGTCTGAACGCAATCGATTCGGGTTTGATTGCATCCCACAGTAGTGCCACGATTATTGCACGAAAATGGGATTGGGAAATGCCTCCAGTAATCAGGGTAACCTATCCACTGGAAGATCTTCCCTCGCACGGTATATCTATTGTCACTACTACCGATTACTATCCTCCAACTTCGTTCGTTGCCAGGCAACCATCATCTCCACGTATCGAAGCAACGCAACTAATGAGGCTCTCGTGCAATTATCGAGGTTCGACTATCTAGCGCAGTATCAATGAGAAGTATCGTCGTTGATATACCGGTCTTCTTAATGAAAGTATTTTAAATATTAAAATCTCGCTAGGTCTATCGCGTTGGTAGTAGAATTGTTAATTTGTTACTATCAACTTCAGTAGTTTCTACTGTACCGACTAAATGGTGTGTCAACGAGCATGACACGAAACGTCGTAGGAAACTGCACTATGCTATTGTACGGAGCAGTAAGCATGACATTGCATGGATCCATATCGGTATTGTGATAGTGGAGGTATTTCTGGAGGTGACACGAGTTACATGCGTGTTAAACATTCCACTGTACGATAATGTCAGACGCGGCTCTTCGGTGTCACGTGCTTGTTTATACTCGAAACCAGTGTTATCATAAATTGAAAATAGAAAAAAACTGGGTCACGGGGGCGCAAAACCGGTGAAACTGTTTTAATATAAACTGCTTCGCGGAATTGGAAAATAAAACTGATTAAACGTTGGTTAATTAAAATTCTGTTGTCAGTCGTTTTCGGTAAAATGGTCGACATCGAGAAATCGTATCGTGCGAATCATAAAGCTGGGGCTTAACAAATTGTTAAAAAAAACGCGTGTAAGTTTAAAATGACAACGGCGCGTAGTTATTTTTTATATCTGTTGCTATAAAAGTCGAAAATCGTTGGGAATGGACGAACGATAATTAGCTGCACGTTATAGATGAAAAAAATAATTGTGGTACTTACAATTGAGCTGTACTTTGGGGAAAGTAGCAGGCACTTCGGTGCAACTGCGGATATTCGCAGGAATCGCTGAGAGTTTCTCGAGTCCTTTCAAAGTTTATCAATGTGAGATCTTGGTCGCCGTCCGTTCCGAAAAGCTCGAAACGCGAATTGAGACCGGTCTGAACGTCCTGGACCACGTCGTGAAGAATATTTGGGCTTTTCGAATGTTTACGTTTCTTTTTTGGACGTCGCGGACTTTCCGACGCTTTTCGTCTCGCTTTGCCTGCAATCAAACCACAAGTGCGCCGCTCGTTATCCGTTCCAAAACCTCGCGTTTAAAAATATTTCTACTCGAGTAGCACCAGCTGGTCTTTAAGTTTGAAAATTTTTTAAAAATATCAACGAAAATAATTATTTTAGAAGGAGATAAAAGAATAGGGTGAAACGCGTGCAACACAGCCCGATGCTATCGATTGCGTCGAGTATGATGAAAAAGCATGTTCGTTTCAGCGCAGCGCGTAATTTATCGATTTACATTACAATGTTACGCTAACCGTTCTTTGACGTAAGTCAACCCTACGTCAAAATATAAATTGCATCAATATACTTCCACATGCAATAACATTTATTTTTAGAGTCATATAACGTTAATATTAGACATAAAGAGACACAACGTAAACTTTCATAGTAAAAACGCCGCGTACACTCGCTTACCAAATGACGCATCACACTTTTTATACATCTTTTATTTATTTATGAGCAACTAAAAATAAACTCTTGTTAATCTCGTTTCCACGCGAGTGGCGTGTGAAATTAGCAATTTTTCGTTTCGAACGAAAGTGGATAACTCTGGATAAAAATGTTAACTTTCGGTAAATCTTCGGGATACAGCCGAAGAACTCTTAAATAGTAAAGTTTATCAAATATTTTTAAAAAGAGCATCGTAGGTGAAAATTGGACGATCAACAGATTCGATAATGTATGCGAATCTTTTTATTTGTTCGTGAAAAATGTTCAGCCAGTTAAAAACAACTCTGATTGGTGACTAGCGAGCCATGATACGAACTTAGTGATTGGTAACCAATGACCCATGACACATGTTCCTTAAATAGACTTAGACCACACAACACACACCGATACCAATGTGTTATTTGACCCCTGAAGTAAAACGTTGGAACACTTCCTCAAAGGGTGAAGTTTAGACCCGGAAGCCACGAATACTATCAACTGACATAAATCGTGACAGACCATGGAAATTTCAAATATCTTAAGTTAAGAATAACTGTGTGAAATAGAAAACTATATAAATTCTTTTGCATATCGAGTTTTTCTACAAATCTGTTTTCTTAATCCGATCGACATATTCAAGTCGTTTGGATAATGAAATACACGACTTGGTTTGACAAAGTGAATTCTGCCCTGATTTGAATTTCCATTACATGAATATTTCAAGTACTCGGAAAACCACTGGTTCGCGTGCAATGAAGTACGAACTTGAACGGCAGAATAAGTAGAAAAGGTAAATAATGGTCAGACGCGATCCATAAATATTCAAATTCAGTTCTCTCGATAACGAAGCCTTCTGCGAGAAAATTTTACTTCGCGTTTTCGACGGTTTTTTTCGTGCAGAATCATCCCCTTCCTGGTTGAAACAAATTTGTGAAATTTAGAAATTCCATCCCTAGAATTTACCAGTAAAGATGGGACAATTAAACCAATCGTTCCAAATGTTTTGCACTTTCTCTTTTTAAAAAAGATTTTCCAACACACAAATATCAACTATGAACTTTCAACGTCGATTAAGTTTTGATGTTAAATAGTTTTTGACGAGTAAAGAAAATCGATATAATACATTTTTTTGAGCAAAGCAGGAAGCTCGGTTCTCGTATTTGTTACTGGTTAATAATAGATCTTAGTGCTTTATCGGCCGTATGGATTTTTGGAAGGCCACATAAAAGACCAATCGAACTATCGAAAAAATTGTACAGTGAGGTGGAAATTAGGTTCCTATCTAAGCCTCTAATACAGTTGCTACGTGTCTTTATATACACACGAGAAAAGAGGTTTTCGTATCCGAGTTCAAATGTAAGGGTGCTTTTTTAGAAAATGTTCAGACGTTTCCAGAGAGTTATCAACGATTGCATGTACACGCGACCATTCGTCCATCTGCGTTAGCATTTTACCGAGAAAAAAAAGACCTTCTATGCAGAGTCGTATTGGGTCAGACGTTATAGTCAGCCTTCATAAAGCAAAATTACTCGACGCTGTCCTCATTCTACTTTCTCATAGTTCCACATTCCCCTTAACCTTCCACCGAGCTCGTCTGGTGCTAGTATTTTATATTTTAGCACATTATTGTTCAAAAAAAGCAATAAATTTTATGGAAATGAGAGTGAAACTGCTGACCTAACCAACTTTCTTTGCTCGAAGGTTTTTGATCGAAATCGAAAGCATCCTGTAATTTTGCCTCGAAATTTACACGGTTAAAGTCGAACCTAAGGTCTGAATATTTTCGTAAATCGCTGTGTTTGCCCCGCTAATCTGATTTATTTAGTAGGGCAAAGTCTGTTCTAGGGACAGAAGCGAAAGATAATCCGAGTGGGCACTTCCAGGGCAACGAAATTGCGAATAACAGACTTTGTCGTAACATTTGCGCGTACGGTGCCCCAGGGAGGTTAATCCGGTTACTCCACTTCACGGATTGTAACCGTAACCCAAACACGATTTCGCTCTTAATGGTATGCGGAGTATTCCAGGCAACTAGGTCGAATCATAGTGTCGAAACAATAGAAAAACCTACGTGGTTTCCAGCGATGTATCGTTTGGTATAGGGAAATTCCTAAAATTTGAAGGTTGGCTCTGTGTTTTAAACAATAATATGCACAGGGGGTGATTTTACGTATAAAAAGAGGACAAAATTTTTGAGAAAATTGAATTCAAAGTTTGCTCAACTTCGTAAACGATTTAGTAGAATTCGAATGACTCCGAATAACGATTCGATCGAACGAACGCCAGAAATAAATCGTCTCACATTCGTTTCCATTCATCGGCCATTATTCGAATAAAATTTTATCTGTGCGTACGAGTAACGATTTGGTACGTTGGAAATTCGAGACAAATGAAGGTGAAACAATAGAGCGACGATAGACGAAGGAACAAAAGGCAGTCGCTATAAACGCGAAGGAAAGTCACAATTTATTTACCGCGTGTTAAGTTGGCCTTCTTTTTTATCTCTTCCGTTCTAAGAATGGGATAAGCATTCTGTGAGTCAATATTTTCCATCGATTCAACTAATTTTATTTTCTAGAGGACTCGTCAATGCCACCCCGAATTCCGTCGCTTAAAATATCGAACGGATTGTACAAAATTATACTAAAAAATATACTAATATACAAACTCCAGGGGAATGCCCATTTTGTTTGATTTTCTGTATTTTGAGAAGAAAGATTAAAATGTAATTTTTTTTTTATTTCACATAGAACACTTTCTGATCAAAAACTAAACTCGACTATATATTTATTAGACAAAGCTTGGCTATTAAAACATTTAAAAAATAATAAACTAATGGAGAATTATATAAATTTTGAAATAGTTACATTGACATATATAAAACAATTATTATAAAATCCACTAGAGAGTTAAAAAGTATTCTAATATACAACTGAAAACTCCAGGGGAATTCCCATTTTATTCTTCAGTTTTTTGGGAAAAATAGAAAGGTAATTTTTCTTCTATTCTACGTAAAACATTTTCTGATCAAACACTAGACTCGACTATATATTTATTGGACAAAGCTTGACTATTAAAACGTTTAAAAAATAATAAACTGATGGAGAATTATATAAATTTTTAAATGGTTACATTGATATATATAAAACAATTATTATAAAATCCACTAGAGAGTTAAAAAGTATTCTAATATACAACTGAAAACTTCAGGGGAATTCCCATTTTATTCTTCAGTTTTTGGGTGAAAATGGAAAGGTAATTTTTCTTCTATTCTACGTAAAACATTTTCTGATCAAAAACTAGTCTCGATTATATATTGGTTGGACAAAGTTTATCTATTAAAACGTGAACACGCTATTATATTGCAAGGGAAGCAGGCTGGGAACAACGAAGAAGTAAGATCCACTCACCATGATGGGAATTGTGTCGATGATGCTCCGTGTCATCTTCGATGAACGCGTCGCACGGCGCGGAATCGTGCCTCTTGCGATGATGTTGATGGTGATGGTGGTAATGGTGATAGTGGTGGTGATGATGATGGCTCTTCCTCCGATGTTGATGGTGATGATTCAGCGAGGAGGAGGCAGTCGAGGTGGAAGTTAGCCTGAGCTGTCGGGGACTGGTCGGCGCGCTGCCGGACCTTTTTCCCAAACTCGAAGCTTTGATCGCCTCCACCTTTGTTTCCACCAAAGCAGCAAGGACGGCTTCGAGACGCACCACCTCCATTCCACTGCCACCATCGTCCGTCGATACTGCCTTGTCAGCCACATCGGAAGTAGACGGAGTCACCGTCATTTCTTCACTTCCTCTTCTCACATTACGGTCACCACTCCTCGATAGTAATCGCGACGTGCCCGCTGACCAAAAGGTCACTAAGCCGTCTCCGTAAAGTTCGACCCCGTCGGTTTCCCTTTTCTTCTCCAAATATTACGCGCCGCGAGCTCGTAAACTGACCGAAACAACACTGATCCGATCAACCGAACTCATCTTCCCACGCTTTCATCTTCCGCCCGACGATTCTCTAATCGCGCGGATCCCTTCCCGTGCATTCCTTTCGTTAAATCGTTCGTGGCGACGTCTAAGTAGGTCTTCCGTGATTACAGCTCGGGAAAGATATTTTCTCATCGGGTTAGTTTGCTGTTACGTTCCTTTGTTCCCGTCCAGCGTCTCGAATTAGGTTGACGCGGCAGCAAAGAACCCGGCGCATATCGGAACGACTTCGTTCAGCCGACGAGAAATTTGTTTCGTCCTATCGCTTTCCGATCGTTCTCTTTGCCCTGGGCGATTCGAATTTACCTCGCCTCCCGTGCATAATCCAGATAATCTCTCGAAAATTTCCTTCGAGGAACGTGCTCGGGCGAAACTTTAATCAGCGTTCACGCTGCCCTCGATCGATCTACGATCCATCGTGAGCATTATCTAACGACGGCCGTCAGAGAGATCGTCCTGCCCGGCAAACTAACCAATTTTCCATTGTAAATACGTTTAAAAATATTCTCCATCGTCGTGCACCTACGTAGCATCGATCTTCGAACGGGCACGAAAGTTCACTCCATTGTTTCTGGCCGATTCAGCACGAATTAGTACCGTTGCACGGTGATCGACGATTTTCATGGAAATCGAGCGTCTCGGTTAGCGACAACCGGTTTCCCGGGAACAATGACGCATAGAGGCATGATCAAAGATACGAGAACGATTAAACGGACTTCCGGGAACGGATTTCGCGGATCCGTCGTGACGCATTTGCGGAATAAAAGGCTCCGAGGAAAGTGCCGCGGCAACCTGTTCTCGCGTGGCCAACTTCCCTCGACCCTTCCTGCTTTCTCGCGTATCTAATGACCTCGTTCTTTTGTAAAGCGTGAAACAAAGATCGGTCGAAACGCGTAGCCATGTCAGGCGTCGTTCGCGAGTGTGTTCTCGGGGGGAAAAAGGTCGAGGGAAGCTACCACCCTGAATCTTCGCGTATAATTCGGTTAAAATTTATGCACCACAGTTCACTCTGCTCTCGCGATTCGATCGCGAACAGGAGAGTCAGAGACGTTCGGGGGAACGGAAACGGAATCGGTTGGGGTCTCTATAGTTCGCTAGCAAGGTCGACGACTGCTTCTGATCGAACGACTCCTCGGTACACGGGAAACGATCGGTGAGAACGCGCAGAGCCACGAGGTGTATTCTCGTCGAATATCTCGTATCGGGGGTGCAGAGCGGCGTATTGCCATAAAAGCGTCGAGTCTGGCGCGGGTTTACGGGGGCGTTCGTGGGATTCCGTAGGGGTTGTCTTTCAGGGCCACTCGTGGGCTATCGGCACGATGACTCCTGGCGGATCCATAGTTCAGACAATGGTGGCGTTAGAAACGGACGGACAAGGACGCTTCCTGGGCTGCATCGCGACGCAGGTCCTGGATTCTGGGGTCGTGGTGTACACGTGCACCATAGACGAAGCACGGGCTCGACACGGCACAACACGGGGACAACACGGGCACGTCACGTCGTGTCAAGAACGTTGCTACTACATCGTACATTCCGTAGTACGATCAGAGTCGACGCGATGGCGCGATCAACGCACATCCCCGGCCGAGGGATTTGCGTGCGCGTGTGTTGGCGATCGCTCGAATACTGGGAAATGTCGTGGAGCAGACAGGGTTGGTAGGCAGGTGGTCGCTCTGGCAGGGGACGCGTGCTGCTCCACCCCCTTCCAACATCCACCCCCTACTTTCATTCTTTCGCCTCTTCCTCCCCTGGCTTTCTTGGCATCGCTGGCTCCGGCGACCACTCTGCCCGCCTTAGACCAGGGTCGCACGACCGTCGAAACGGCGATTCAAACGCGAGAAACTCCAATTTCTTACAATCTACTATCATTTTACTTTAGGTGCTGAATTTGTAAATCCTTGAGGGTCTTCGTTTGAAACATTGTTTAACACTTTGACTGCGCACAGTGTTCGAAAACGGTGATTCAGACGCGAGAAAGTCCAATTTCTGACCATCTATCATTTTACTTTAGGTGTTGAATTTGTAAATCCTTGAGGATCTTCGTTTGAAACATTGTTTAACACTTTGACTGCGCGCAATGATCGAAAACGGTGATTCAGACGCGAGAAAGTCCAATTTCTTACCAGTTCCTATCATTTTACTTTAGGTGTTGGATTTGTAAATCCTTGAGGATCTTCGTTTGAAACATTGTTTAACACTTTGACTGCGCACAGTGTTCGAAAACGGTGATTCAGACGCGAGAAAGTCCAATTTTTGACCATCTCCTATCATTTTACTTTAGGTGTTGAATTTGTAAATCCTTGAGGATCTTCGTTTGAAATATTATTTAACCCTAGAAATTGCTTAACACTTTGACTGCGCACAGTATTCGAAAACGGCGATTCAAAGGCGATTAAGTCCAATTTTTGATCATCTCCTATCATTTTACTTTAGGTGATGAATTTGTAAATCCTTGAGGATCTTCGTTTGAAACATTATTTAACCCTTGTTATGTTGAAATTGTTTAACACTTTGGCTGTCGCGTCATCCATATATGGGTGACGGTTTTAAGTGTGGAAATAAAACAATTAATTCTCAAGTTAAAATGCTAACCCCTAAGTGGAATATTATCTTCGCAAGTTTAAACTAATAATTGTTTAATATATGTAAATATAATTATTTGAAAATTTATGTAATCATTATTTCTTATAAAAATGGAAATTCTCCTGGAGTTTTCAGTTGTATATTAGAATATTTTTTAACCCTCAAGTGGATTATTGGCTGTAGCCTTCCGCAAGTTTAATCTAATAATTTTTTAATATATTTAAACGTAATTATTTGAAAATTTATGTAATTCTCCGTTAGTTTATTATTTTATAAATGCTTTAAAGAAAAGTTGATTTCCATTTATCGATTTGGTAAAAATCAACATTTAGTAAAATAATTCAGTTAAGATTGAGAGTCCACTTAAGGGTTAATATAACTTTGTAAGGTTCGTTCCAAATTTTAAGTATCCAACCAATAATCAGGTCTCAAAATACAAAAAAAAAATACAAAAAGTCGAACGAAATGGGAATTCCCCTGAAGTTTTCAATTATATACTAAAATATTTTTTAACTAAGTAGATTATTGGCTGCGGCTCTCGACAATTTTAAGTTAATAATTTTGTAATATATCTCAATGTAATTATTTGAAAATTTGTGGAATCTTCTATTAATTCATTATTTTATAAATGCTTTAAAGAAAGGTGATTTCTATTTATCGATTTGGTAAAAATCAACATTAAGTAAAATAATTCAGTTGAGATTGAGAGTTGACTGAAGGGTTAAAGAAAATAAATTTTAATAGGCTTCTTAAATTTTAGGGAATTTACGAAAGTAAGTATCTACAAGTTTTAAGTTATGCAGTTTGCAATTGTCCAAGATCAAAGTTTTGGTCTCGTAAATAATTTTGGGATTTTCGACTGATAGTCAACGTGTTAAATAGGTTAATTTTTACTGAGAAACTCGACATTTTTATTCTTCTTGGAAATCTGTGTTTGCAGTTCATGTTTCTCCTAGGAAATAATGATATTACAATGATTTCAATTTGTACTGTATGAATCTTGCACAGGAAAGGACAAACTTTATTTTAGGATAAAAACAATTCATCAAAATTTATTAGAATTTTAAATACAGGTAATCGAAAAGAACCAATTGTAGTATATTCACTTCTTTGGTTTCTCTGAAAATCAGCTTTTTTAATAATATAACTTTAAAGTTAGCGAATCTTATTCTTATTATTCCTATTTTCTATTACTTTCTTCATTATTTACATACATTATGCACTTCAAAATGTTATGCAACAGTGAAACTTTCGTAATAAATATATTTAGTTTTTTTCTTTAATTAAATAATGTTATTTTCATTCGACATGAAATAACATAAGAATTATTAAGCAAAATTAATGTTAACATTGTTAATAATCGTTCATAAACTTATTTTTAAGGATTTGTGCACTTTTGAGGTAAAATACAATTTTTCGCGTGTAAATTGCCGTTTTTGAACACTGCGCGACGTCCGTTTTTATGTTTCTGCTTGTTTTGCAATTGAAAACAACCAAGACAAACATAGGAACGCCGGTATTGTCTGTCTTCGTTGACCGAATTTTTGTCTCAAATGTAAACTTGCAATTTACAATTTATATTTCAGGTTAATGGTTATCTCAGAGACATTATGTAATTTGGTAAAATATTGTAATCATTTGGCAGAATGTAATCAAAATGAAATATATCAGCATGTGTCCTGAAAGTTACGAGGGTTCGTAGAGGGTCAAAGAAAAATGGTCAGGTTGTCGCAAGAATAAATCGTCTTGCATTCTTTCCGTGTTCTACTATGGACTGGTCCTGAACTTGGAACTAGCTTAATCTACTTTAATCTCGTATCGAGGAAGCCTAACCTTTCATAGAAGCTTCTTGACCTTTCGGAATTTCTATCGAGCTCCCTCGATTTCGTCTTTTTAGTTTATCGTTCGCCGAGCTTTTGTAAGCTGATAGCAGAACGGGTTCTTAGTATCAGGTCATCCCTGTAAGTCCCGAATTTCAAACATGCCATAGAATTTTGTGATAAACATTAAGTAAAATAATTTAATTGTTGGACTATGAGTCCACTCAAGGGTTAATATAACTTTGTAAGGTTTGTTCCATATTTTAAGCGTTCAACCAATATATAATTAAGTCGAACGAAATGGGAATTCCCTTGGAGTCTTTGGTTCTATATTAGAATATTTTTTAACCCTTAAGTGGATTATTGCCTGCGGCTCTAAACAAGTTTAAGCTAATAATTCTTATATCTAATAACTCTTGGAGGGGAGGGGGTGAGAATTTGATATATAGAGAGCTTCGACACAATTCCCATTTCTTTCAAATATTTATCAATTGTTAACATTGGTATGTTTAAAGTTTCGAAAAAACTCTTAAATAAGCAAGAGTCTACTTGCATTTTGATATAATATTTCTGAAAAACTGTTTCACGAATATTGGACGAGAACAAATCAGCCTTTTGTGACTTTTAATCGTGATCCTAATTTTGGCTGAATAAACTGTAGACTGAAGAATCCAATTAAACATATTTTCGTGTTTGATGGAACATATTGAGGCTGACATAATTAACAAATAAATTGTAGTATTGCATTTATATTATATTTAAATTTCTTACACAACAAATATATCAATTATCGGAAAATTATCGCTTAAAACTCGAAAGAATTGATTTTCCAACAAGATAGAACTCCATCAGAATTTGGTATAATGCCAGGGACTTCTTGAATAACCAATATGGCTGCTAAATTGATCATAATGGTAAACTAGCTTAGCTATTATTATCCCTAGACTTGACGATAGATTATTATACATATACTTAAGTATGCATGTTAACCAAAGACTTACTTTTTTACGAAAGAATACTTTTACTTTTTTGTTAATCTGTTTAGAGTAAATGAATCTTCAACGTCAATTTGTTCGGAAACGGAGCTTCGCATAAAACGAATATCACTGTAAATTTTCACCTAATTTTTTTCATATTGATTTACCCCCTCAGGATGTACCATTAATTCGGAAACACGCTGTATAACAAAAACAACGAGACCTAGGGGAGCTCTGTACGATCAATAGGGCTGGAGATATGAACTTGTGAAACACTATAAAAAGTCGTTATTTTTATAGATATCTATTTCTCACTCTATAAGAGACGTTTCCTACTCAAAAATATAATTTGAAATACATTTATACAGGAAATATTAAAATTTCTTATCGAAAGAAAAATATTCTGTTTAAATATTAACTTTATATAAGTAAATCTCTTCGGTGGGAAACGAATTATATTCTTAAATGATTTCTAATATAACATTTTGTCACACGATAGATATAAAATAGTATTAAATATAAAGAAAGAATATATTGAGTATCTTTTCTATTATTTCTCTCGATTTGGTTCTATTAATACGTTACATGTCGTGAAGATCACTGACAAATTTTTGAATAATGTCAGTGACATTAGAAATACTAGAAAATAATAACTCCATTGGACCATCGAATATTTCTAATATTTCGAATATTTCGAATATTTCTAAAATGTCGAAGATATCTCTAAACAGAGGAAATTGCTATAGCAGTCACTATTCTTGTTCCATAGTAGTCAAATTATGGCTTCTCTAGACCCACTGCAGCTGTCGCGAAAGAATTAATATGGAATGCAGTTTTCAAATATTTAATGTTTAATATATATATATATAATACTGTTATGTGAAATAATGACTATCTGAAAAAATACTTTTTTGAGAAAACAGGTTCATTACAAATGAGTTGTTTCTTTTTCCGTACAAATATTTTTTTTTCATTATTTAGTAATGAAAAAAAGGAACTACATGAAATTTTTTTGAAGTACCAAATATTGTTTATATGTAATTTGTCATACTAGTAGTTAATAATCCAAAGTATAAGGAATTATAAAAATCAACGAGAAGACCTAAGTACAAAATTAATCAGTTACAGTTTCACGTCGATTTTTTTCATTCAAATGATTTTAAAAGTAACAAGAATTTATTGAGTCCTTTCATGGGAATAATTCAAAATATTTGTTACGCTAAAAACCGTACGCGCGCTAATTTTGTATGAAAATGATTTCTAAATATATCTATAATAATATTCAAAAAGAAAATTATGTTTTAAGTTGTGAGACTTACTCTAGACTTATTAAGTTCACTATCAATAATTGAATAGTCTCCTGGAAAAGTGGCGTAAGTTACAAACGTTTGAACCTCATTTCATTGTGGAATTGTGGTCATCATATTTATAATTAATAAATCACTTTTTCTTTAGTGAATTTATTTACTTCTTAAGAAGAAAAAAGGAGGTACATTAATCGTTTCTCCGCCATCTTCTATTTATTATTTATTTCACATGAAATTTATTCTTCAATATGTAAGAGCCGACGATTTATACAGACATTGTAAATAGGGACCGTGTCTGTCGGCGATCATCGTAGAGCGCGGCTCTTCGAGTGTAAGATGATCGCCGCAGACCGCGGCTGATAAAAGCGAATGTTTCGAAGACATTGTAGGGTTCGGCGTCTTTTGAGACGCCGATGAGCGAACCCGCGAAAGCGAGCGTGCGTTGAATCAGGAGCAGTCGTATTGGAACTTCTGAACAGTGCAGAACCATAGTAAAACCACGCCTATTATTTGTCCTGACACTTCCGAGTCACTCAGTATCTTTATTTTCCGTTTTTCCTCTCCCGCTCTCCCCTATTACAAATAATATTACATATTGTGCAATAATATATCAAGACATTAATATTATTTATGAATAATTATCGATTATAACACTATATTTTTAACAACATTACATAGCTAATTACCTAGGAAGAATAACTTAAAAATATTTAGAAAAATATAAAACAGATGCGGCACTAAGAAGAGGGTTTATTTCTCCCGCTATCCTGCCTTAAATATATCCTACCTTAGCCAACCTTTGAATACTATTTCGTGGGCCTCAAACTCCCTAGACAATCGTTATAATATTGTCTGTGCTTATATTAAGAATATATCTGTTATCGCATTCTGAGTGGAAGGTTAAGATACGAAAATTTTTCTTTCAACGCGTCGTAAGAAAATATTACTGTCATGCATTATTGTATAGTAAATTAGACTTATATCATAGACGAGGTATACGTGTAGACCATACACCTTATGGATTTTCGTGGCCCAATCTGACTGCCATACTGACTGTATACCTTGTCTGTGGTGTGTACGTAAATACATATGAATTGACTATGGAAGGGATTGAAATTTATTTATAAATCTGTTGGTAATGTTGCGAGTGACACGAAAATGGTAATGGGGTTTCGAGATCCCATAAAAATGGGCCGTAAAAATACATTGGGTGAAAGGTCTACTCGTATACCTCGTCTGTAGTTATAATTTTGTAAAGTTACCGTTTTTTAAACGAGAAGATTGCTGTAGAACCACCGATATTTTATGACATTGGTATATCAGTTCGTGTGTCACAAAGTCCCATTGAACGGTAGGTCTACTCTGTACTTAGTTTATGGTGTAATAGGTATACATGGGTCGAAAAATAAAAATGTCTAGACAGTTGAAATCGAAATCGTATACGATTTATGCATATTGGATATCAGCTGTTTCGAGAGCGAGAAAGAAATTTTCACATTTGCCTTTTTTCTTGAATCTCCGAAGCATCACAGGTCATGTGCACTTGTTTGTGCATTAGTGTGTGTAAGTGGTGGGGACAGTTTCATTTAGGCGCCAATGTGTCGTCTAGTAACATTATTTCCGGTAGACGCTTTGCAGTTGAATTAAATGCAAAGTTTGTGTGTATAAATTGTATTTTGTTAATAATCGAAAAATGGATATTGGGGATGTTCAAAGTTCCAGTAAACGTGTTCCGGATGAAGTTGGACTCAAATGCCAGAAATTGTTTCAAGATTTCCTCGAAGAGTAAGTTCTTACAATTTGTAAAGAATAATTTATCTAACCGTGGACACACGGTACACAATTATGTGTAATTTTATAGAAACGTGTTTTCACAGCTTTTCATATATGTATAAATTTATCGTTTAATTAGGTTTAAAGAAGATGGAATTGTAAAATATTTGGAGCCAGCAAAGGAACTCATAAGCCCAGAACATTACACCTTAGAAGTAACTTTTGACGATGTAGACGAATATAATCAAGTACTATCCACAACTATAGTCGAAGAATATTACAGGTACGAACTTTACGTTAATAATGTAATTAAACTTCGTATTTTGCTTCAGAATAGATCATAAGTATTTATTATTAGGTTAACTGGTAAGTATTATCAAATTTTTTTAGTTTTTTTTCTATGAAAAGCACTGCTCTTAGCTTATAAAAAAAACATATTCTAAAAGCTGACATTTCAATGTATAGTGCAAAAAAGAAATAATTATGTTTGGTAACCTTGTTTTTAAATGGACCGTGTTTTGATGAAAATGAGTAAGGAGAAGATGTATTTACAAGCGATTATTGTTTTTTATTTCCGTAATATGGAAAATGCAATATAAATAATAGAAAAGATTTTTTTACCATAGTGCTGTAAATAAACGCTATTTAAAAATAGTTTAGAATGCTTCTTCAAGATTTTACGGACCTGGTAATTCTTTCTTCTGTATTTCTATGACTTTCTCTTTCTTCTTTACCATTGTAAAAATGATTAAGAGCTCTAACTGGACCACCAAGCAACACACGTAGTCTCGTTATTGTTAGTAATAAAATTAAGTTTAGGTAACTCGTTCCTCTTTGCAACATTCTCAGTGTGGTTTCTAAATAAAATCTTGTTCAAAATGTTATAATTACGGTTTGTTCTTGAATTGACTTGTATTATTTTACGGGTGAAGATTAATTGCTTATAATAATGCGGAACAAGAAAGACATTGCGATAAGCCAGGTGCAAATCAATACTATGCCCAAGGCGACTTTACACCCTGAGAAGGTCACGTTATGTTCGCAACAAGATTGGAAGGGAATACTGTAATTATGTACTTCTGCAATCTAATTAGATCATTGATTCTATCAAGTATCGTTCCAAATTGGGGCAACTATCTAACTATCTTAACTATCCGACTATCCAACTATCTGAAAAGGCAAATATCCAGAAGCAGACAGAAAAGGAATAATCTTCCACTGAAACACGTATCTCTGCAAAAATCGTATAATTGTATAATTTTGTTTGATAGGGTGTACCCATATTTGTGCCAAGCATTGGCCAATTTTGTCAAAGATGTAACTGACTTAAGAAAAGATAAAGAATGTTACGTTAGTTTCGTAGAAGTTCCAACAAGGCAAAAGCTAAGGGAACTAAATTCAGCAAAATTAGGTACCCTGATACGAATATCGGGCCAAGTAATACGAACGCATCCGGTCCATCCGGAACTAATTCTCGGAACGTTCATTTGCACAGATTGCAACGGTGTAATTAAAAATGTGGAGCAACAATTTAAAGTACGGTATAAATATTTAATAAACACGAACCCGTTAGTACGTGACTACAATACGAACGATGCATTTTAGTTTACAAATCCGACAATTTGTCATAATCCAGTGTGTAATAATAGACGTCGTTTCATGCTGGACGTGGATAATTCAGTATTCGTGGATTTTCAAAAGATTAGAGTGCAGGAAACGCAAGCAGAGCTTCCTAAGGGATGCATTCCCCGATCGCTCGAAGTTATTTTACGATCGGAAGCCGTCGAAACAGTACAGGCTGGGGATAGGTATTACGATGAAAATAACTTTACGTTGTCGTTGATTTCCAAGAAACTTGGATAAATTGTTTCGCATATTCTAGATACGATTTTACGGGAACTCTTATAGTTATACCAGACGTTGGGGTTCTGTCTGCTCCTGGTGTACAGCTCAATAAACAGAGACGACAAAAGTCTGCGGACCAAGGAGAAGGTCTAACCGGCCTGAAATCATTAGGAACCAGAGAACTCACGTACAAAACTGCGTTCCTAGCCTGTAGCGTCACGCCAACAAGCTTTAGAGTAAAAACGATTAATATTACGAATCAAATATTTTTTAATAAATGAATAAAAATGTTAGATTCGTTCTTAAACTTCTCTTAACATTTTATTAATAAATTAGAATTTTTTAAATCGCTGTCCAGGCGAACGGAGGAATCTTTAAAAGCTAGTTTACGAATCTAAAATTGTAATTTGCCATTTCGCGAATAAAATGCGTCTTAACACTTTGACGGCCGCTGTCACGTATACGTGACTTCGCGAGCTAGCAGACGGTGGCCACTGTCACGCCTACGTGATCTATTGTATCAGCCAGCATTTCATCATGCATTCAACTTATTACGTTTGTCGAGGTTACATTTACAATTCCTTATAATTCATGTATCTCACTTTGATCTGCAATATCAGTGGTGACGAACAGCGGTTTTCGCGCGATGCGGCCATTAAAGTGTTAAGTATAAGTTGAAGCCTGCCGCCTTAATATTCTCGATCATAATCTTTAAAAGCTAGTTTATGAATCTAAAATTGTTATTTGCCATTTCGCGAATAAAATGCGTCTTAACACTTTGACGGCCGTTGTCACGTATACGTGACTTCGCGAGCTAGCAGACGTTGGCCACTGTCACGCCTACGTGATCTATTGTATCAGCCAGCATTTCATCGTGCATTCAACTTATTACGTTTGTCGAGGTTACATTTATAATTCATGTATCTCACTTTGATCTACAGTATCAGTTGCGGCCATCAAAGTGTTAAGTATAAGTTGAAGCCTGCCACGTTAATATTCTCGATCATAATCTTTAAAAGCTAGTTTACGAATCTAAAATTTTTATTCGCTAAATTCTGAGTACACGTACGATGTGTAAGTCGAAGTCACGTTAATATCGGGGTTGGATCTTAATACTTGGCTCTTGTAGTTCGGTGGGACGGAAACAAACATGGAGGAGATATCTCAAGAAATGATGAAGAAACGAATGACAGAGGCGGAATGGAATCGTATATACGAAATGAGTCGCGATAAAAATCTGTACCAAAACCTCGTTAATAGTTTGTTTTCGTCGATACATGGCAACGATGAAGTTAAAAAGGGAATCACTTTGATGCTCTTTGGGGGCGTTGGGAAGACAACGTTGGAAGGCACCTCGTTGCGTGGCGACATAAATTGTTGCATAGTTGGAGACCCCAGCACGGCAAAGTCTCAGTTTCTAAAGAGCGTTGCTGAAATCACTCCAAGAGCAATTTACACTTCCGGGAAAGCGTCTTCCGCGGCTGGGTTAACAGCGGCGGTAGTTAGAGACGAAGAATCGCCTGATTTCGTGATCGAAGCCGGTGCTTTGATGCTTGCCGATCAGGGTATTTGTTGTATCGACGAGTTCGATAAAATGGAGATCAGAGATCAAGTCGCTATACACGAAGCCATGGAGCAGCAAACAATTTCATTGGCCAAGGTCTCTGAATAGAAAATGGCTTTTACAATCATTTTGTATTATGTGTATTTTTAATAAAGGCATCTATTCGTAGGCTGGTGTAAGGGCAACTTTGAATGCTCGAACATCGATATTAGCAGCGGCAAATCCCATTGGCGGGCGTTACGACAGGAAAAAGTCTTTGCAACAGAATGTTCAGTTAACGGCGCCCATTATGTCCAGATTCGATTTGTTTTTTATTATAGTCGATGAATGTAACGAAATCGTCGATAACGCGATCGCTAAACGAATCGTTGATCTACACTGCGACAATTGGCAAGATTTCGAGGCTGTGTACTCGCAATCTGAAATTGTTCGTTACATCAATTTTGCCAAACATTTTAAGCCTATATTGAGCCAGGTATTACATACTTTCGAACCGAAAATCGATCATCGGTCAAAACGACTACATTCGTCTCTAAAAACTTTGCAGGAAGCTGCAGATTATTTGGTCGATAGTTATACAACGCTTAGGCAAAGAACTGGTAGCAGTTCTGGAAAGTGGAGGGTCACCGTTCGACAGTTAGAAAGTCTTATCAGATTGTCAGAAGCAAAAGCTAAATTAGAGTGTTTAGATGAAGTTTCCGTGAAACACGTGAAAGAAGCAAAACGTTTATTAAGTAAAAGTATCGTGACTGTGGAACAGCCAGATATAGATTTAGAAGAACCCGATGATCTGAACGCGGACGTCAATATAGATGATGCTCCGCCGCTTATGGCTGCTCTTAACGCGTTGGACGACGATAGGGCAACCGACACGCCTCGTAAAAATTTTAATTTAATATTTTTGTTAAAATTTTTATGCAAAATGGGGTTTCTAATTTGTTCCCCCATGTTCCGGTGTAGGAACTGAAATCACGGATAAAAAGAAGTTAACAATGTCCTTTGAAGAGTACAAAAGTTTATCTAATATGTTGGTATTGTATATGAGGAACGAAGAAACTCGCGCTGAAACCTCTCCTTCAGGTATGGTAGCCAGTAGAATGTAAAGCGGAAGTGGGTAAGTAAATATTTTCGTGGAATTAAAGAAATGAAGAAGAACTTTTTACGCAGATGATATTAAAGGCGGTCTAAGGAAGTCGGAACTAGTAGCCTGGTATCTTGATCAAATACAAGATCAAATAGATTCGGAGGAAGAACTACTGGAAAGGAAAAATTTTATCGAAAAAATTATCGACAGATTGACATATCATGTATGTGCTGAATTGTTTGAATTATAATATACTTTATTTGTAATTAATATAATTGTTTTTTTGTAGGATCAAATTATCATTCCTCTTACAACGGCTGAACTTAAACGGAAGGGTAAGCATGACGAAGAAGAAGAAGATGATCCGTTGCTCGTTGTACACCCTAATTACATTATCGACATCTAAGCTGCAACAGAAATTTGTAAAAAAAATAATGAACCAAACCAGTGTCTTACAATACATTATTTTTATTTTTAACTTAATTTTAAATTAGTTAATGTTTTTATATCTTTGTATACTAGAGGGTTTTTCCTGTAAATAAATAAATAATGAAGTTTTTTACCGGCGCCCAAAAATTTATTTCACGGCAACATTTGTTCCTGCATCAAGTAGCAATCAAGTAAGTATCGATAGAATCGATAGTCGAATTTTAAACATATACGGTTTTCAGTCACTGGTGATTTAAATGTTTAGTTTATATTCATTACGTATTAAATGAAGATGTACTGATTATTTTAAAATTATCTTCATTCTGAGTGCACAGTATCAATATTTTTCAAGCAGAAATTTAGTGAATAATTAATGTAAATGCATTAAAATATTTGGAATATTGACTAACAATTTCGATTTTCAACATTTTATTCACCTTTAGAAAGCTGTACGAGGTTAATTCTGCTAGATATTAAATTTAACTACAATAACTCATAATATATCGAACCACGACGAGTCGATAATTGAATCATTAGGATTTCCCTGTCCCGCGAGATGTACCTTGATTGAACGTCTAACAGATGGCGCTGCAGTGTTAAATCTCTACCAATCTGGGGAATTTTTTAGTTAATCCCTTGCAATACAATAATAATATATATAATTGTACAAAATTTTGAAATATTTATGCTTGACACGGTAATTTCCATTCATTTTTGCACGATAATTTATACAGATTGAGTAATATGTCAAATAATTTATTTTGTCACGTAGATCTCGAACACGAAATAAAAATCCTTTTTCTCTGAACAAGACTTGCAAATAAAAAGTCGCAATTCCTACGATTTTATTTAGTTTGTACTCATTTGCCAACGACAGTTTGTAAATTGTTCCTTCACCAAATAATTAGAATTTCCCGTTAATGGAAAAATCGTGTGCGTTTGCGACGAAGAACAAGTAAAGATGTAGTTAGGCGAAAGGAAAGAGAAAGTAGCGGAATCTTTGACTATGTAGATTGGAACGTGTTTAACACGATACATGTACACATTTCCCGCCATTGACAAGACTTGGCTTTTAGAGCAGATAGTACTGTAGGATATAAAGGAAATGCAAAGTGCGTACAGTAGTTTCAGTTCTTCCCAAGACTTTCCAGAATGTTGGTCAGCGTGGACGACATTACTCTATTTTACCTGGTGATGTGTTATTTTACGTTATTTATACGGTTCGTTTAATAGTGTTTTCAAATATTCGTGACGCAGTAAATTGTTTTGAAATATTACGAAATACAATTTTGTTATATTTTAGTTTTCAAGAATTTCTAAATTTAAACCGCGTTCAGTGCGATACTGTGCTCAATGTAAAAGTGTTAGGATCTTAAAATCAATGTGAAAATTATTCAATACAGGTAACATTCTTCTGCCTGTCCAGTGGTATATTAACAACGACAATATCGCGGGATTTTCAAACGTCGACGAGTTTACAGTCACCATCCGTTAGCTATCTTCCACCATCGAACACAGCATTTTCCAAACTTTCACAACACGCTGTTTTCGTCAACCAAGCTTTGGGCAATGGCTTAAAAGATGATAAATCCCCAGGTAGAGGCATTCCCGAAATACAAACGCAACAAAGGTTTTCCTTCTTGAAACCACTATCGATCGACCTCGAGTTACCTTTCCAAGACGAGACGAAATCAATTACGAATAAGCAAAAGTAAGAACTCACATTTAGAAAATTCGGTTCCGAAAGTGTCTAGCGTTCTACTGTTATTATATTTTCGTGAAAATCCTAGTCGACCTAAAATAGTTGTAAAAATACAAAGATAAACGTAAAGCTTCTGATGATTTCAAAGATTTCGATCCTCCTGCTGTATTAGTTTGTTTTCGAACGAGTCTCGAAGCACCGATACATCAATAGTTGAAGTTTCCATTTTCAGATCATCGAAGGAAACTCAGGGTAGCGTTGAAACAGGAATTAGGAGAATTCCAGAGTCATCGAGACCGAGCAGCACGCTGAGACTGCGAGCAACTGTTGAGAATGATCCCCACGTTCCGCGACGGACGTCGTATCAAGTCGTAGAAGAGCTCGATGAATACCTAACGGATGATTTGGATCATGCCCGATTGCCTTATCGTGGGAAGGTTCAGACGACGAATCCCCATCGTAATTCGCAAGACATAACGACGGCCATCAAAGCCCTCGATCGCTTCCTGAGCGGGGTTCTAAGCGACGATGGTTACAACAGCGAATTACATCCACCGCCCAATCCTGTTTTAGCCCTCATCCTATCTCGATACGGACGATACGTGCTCGGAGCACGGAATTCTCGCGTCTACGCTCATATGGCCGTTAATAATATTCATAATAATAAACCATTCGGTAACTATAAAATAGAATGCGAACAACTGCCCACTTACGATCGATAGTCGTTCCGAACAGGGCTAGAACAAATTGTTAAATGCGTCTAAGAGAGACTGTACCGGAGTTTTTTTTATTTATTATGCTATGCGTAATAATAAAATATAAGCAGTTGTTAATGTGAAAACGGAGATCAATTTCCAGAAAAGTAATCATTAACAGTGGGATGGTAGTCATACGACGATGGCTGAGTTGGTAAGGCGGTTGATTAGCAACACGAAGATACGAAGATCCGTGAGTTCCAATCCCCCGTACCGTTAGTTTTCATTTTTTCCGCGACATTGGTACATAATAGTAATTACGAAAGAATGCAAAAAAGATATGTACATTGGAAATTAATTTGAAGGATTATTGTGCATGGTTGAAAAAGAATATGGCTAATATCCAGTGTGTAATAAGTGGAAGGGAAAATGTCCATTGTAAATAGAAGGAAAAGAAGTATCCATTGTAAATGGAGAAGCTGCTTAGAAATCTCTAGAAACTAAAAAAAAGTCCCTATAAAATTTCCAGTTAACACTCAGAAAGAACACAGCTTAGAAATTATACTTCAGGATGATATATTGGGGTGAGTTCTCTCATAAGCAAAATTGCACAAACTTTATTTCTTTATTAAAAGAGTTGCACAACACCTTAGTCTAAAACGGTATTCTCCATTATTAAATACAATCCTTTTCCATTTATTTGGTTCCTTATCGTGCAAAAAAATCAGCTTGTTTTGATAAGAAAAACGTCTGAATGAATTCCTATACACGGTTGCCGCTATTGAATTTTTGTCCGTTTAAAGAACTTTGTAGGGATCGAAATAAATGGTAATCCGTGAATTTAATCGTTCATCGAACTGTTACGCGAAGGGAACAAATCCATTCGAATGCTCCAAATTGAATAGTTTGTTGTTTAGTTTAATTCAGTCTTACGATCACGATACTGGTCGTTTTTGCTGTAAGTTTTCTTGGACCTTCTTCAAAGGCTGCTGTAACTGTCTCATTACGCTTTGGCAACTTATAATGGATTACTTCTCTTCGATTCCACCAAAGAAGAATCTTCTTTCCATGAAGAGTGGCTTTGGGTTCTGGTAGAGGTTGTCTATCTTTATCTACCCACTGTCTTCAACTATTTTTCATCTTCTGTAATCAGTTTGCCCAAAAAAGGGTCATTTCTGTTAATAAACAAGTTGCTTTGTTTTTTAACTTGCTGGCTTTTCCTAGTTTTTCAGGTGTCACCCAAATACTATCCAATTAAAAACTAAATTATTCTTATTATTTAATAACTTTTTTTTATACCATAAGGCTATTTCATAAGAATTTCATTGTATTTCATTTTAAAATATCACTACAGTCAATTTTTACTATAAAACTAAAAATTAAATATAATTATTAGTAATTTTCATTGGATATATGAAAATTATTCTTATTATTAAATGACTTTTTTTATACCATAAGGCTATTTCATCAGAATTTCATTGTATTTCATTTTAAAATATCACTACAGTCAATTTTTACTATAAAACTAAAAATTAAAGTCAATTATTAGTAATTTTCATTGGATATATGAAAATTATTCTTATTAATAAATAACTTTTTTTATACCATAAGGCTATTTCATCAGAATTTCATTGTATTTCATTTTAAAATATCACTACAGTCAATTTTTACTGTAAAACTAAAAATTAAATACAATTATTAGTAATTTTCATTGGATATATGAAAATTATTCTTATTATTAAATAACTTTTTTTTATATCGTAAGGCTATTTCATCAGAATTTCATTGTATTTCATTTTAAAATATCACTACAGTCAATTTTTACTGTAAAACTAAAAATTAAATACAATTATTAGTAATTTTCATTGGATTGTGGCGGCCAAGGCACCACATACGCCTTAGCCGTTCGAAGCCGCTACAATGTAAGGTTGCACACGAGACGATGGTTGCACACGAGACGACCAGAGCCGCGTGAACCGAAAAGCCGTTGTCGTCGTCTCTGACCGTCTTTTGTTTTTGAAGGCCTCTTGGTACGGTGGCGATGATCGTACCAGAGAGTCGAGCGTAACCCGCACCACGAGTCACGTCGTTGTACGACAGCAACTATACAATTGTGCGGAACGGAACAGGGCGGAGTCATTACCTTCCCGATCCCACATTGGTGACCCCGACGTGATCTCGCCGCGCAAGTAAAGTTTTTTTAAGAAAATTTGGACATTTTTCGTATACGGACAATATTAGTTAGGGTAGAGAAATAAGTGTATAGTGTTAAGGACATAAGAAAAGGACACGGTCTGACAAATAGTAAGCGCGGTGTGTGTGTGCGGTGAAACTATTTTTTTTTTGTGACCAAGACTGGTAAAATGACTGACCCTAACGTTAACGCAGGGACATCCGCGGGTGTGCCGTTGGCAGTTGATCGCGTCGCTGTACGGATACCCGAGTTTTGTCCGGGAGACCCGGAGATGTGGTTTTCAATGGTAGAGAGAAGTTTTGAGGTATCCAATGTAACGTCGGAGACCACGAAATTCGGGTACATTCTCGGCGCGTTAAGTGCGCGACACGCCGCGGAAGTAAGAGACATTATCATGAATCCCCCGGCCGCGGATCCGTACACGACGCTAAAAAATGAGTTCATTCGCCGGCTTAGTGCGTCGCAGGAACAGAAAACGCGGCGGTTATTGGAACACGAGGAAATCGGGGACAGAAAACCGTCCCAATTTCTTCGTCACCTGCGCGGATTGGCCGGTACGGCTTTTTCGGACGGTGTATTGCGGACGCTTTGGATGGGCCGACTACCTGCTAATATGCAGGTGATTTTAGCCACGCAGCGGGACACCCCGCTGGATAAGGTGGCAGAGTTGGCAGACGCTGTTGCGGATACGATGACACAGCGGGTACACGTCACGGAGGCCGCGATTACGGGCGTATCTGCATCCTGCCAAATACCCCCGCCGGGCCCGAGCATCGAGGCCATGTTAAACATTAAGATGTCACAATTGGCTCTTTCCTTGAGGCAGGAAATTTCTGCCATCCGTGAATCCTTGGTGGACCAGGGGCAATCTTCCCGTCGCAGGTGGACCCACCGAAATAATCCAAACTCGCGCTACCGCAGACGATCTCTATCGCGATCGCGAGAGCGGCCCGCGGGAGGACAAATGGACCATCAAGGGAAATGCTGGTACCATTGGCGGTTCGGTCCGGCCGCGCAGAGGTGCGTTGCACCGTGCAATTGGAACGCCACGGATCAGGGAAACGACCTGGGGAGTCGTTGATGGCGGCCAGCGACACAAATCCAGCATCACGCCGCCTCTTCATCTTAGACAACAGCTCGAAGACGGAATTTTTAGTGGATACCGGGGCCGATTTGTGCGTTTTTTCCGCGCCGCCTGCTAGGCGGATTGCGAGAAAGATCGGAGTACCAGCTGGCGGCGGCGAATGGGAGTGTAATTAACACCTACGGGACAGTGTCGTTAAACCTGCACCTCGGCCTACGACGGGATTTCGTGTGGCGATTCGTGGTTGCGGATGTTACAAAACCCATAATCGGGGTAGACTTTCTCGATCACTTCGATCTTATGGTGGACATCCGCAATCGTCGCCTCGTCGATCGGACCACGTCGTTAACGGTCCGCGGAACACGAGCCGAGGATGAAACGCCGTCGGTGAAGACAGTAGCAGGGACTACCGTTTACCACCAGCTCCTGATGCAGATGCCGGAACTTACACGGCCTAGCGGCACCCCGATGAGGACTACGCACCAAACGGTGCATTACATCGAGACAACCCCTGGACCACCCGTTTCCAGCAAGCCGCGGCGGCTTGCACCGGACCGGCTCAGGGCTGCCCAGAAGGAGTTCGACGCGATGGTGAAGATGGGCATCGCTTGTCCTTCGAAGAGCGCGTGGTCAGCACCCCTTCATATGGTTCCGAAGAAGGGCGAAGAAGCTTGGAGGCCTTGCGGTGACTATAGAGCGTTAAACGCACGGACAATTCCCGACCGATACCCCGTGCGTCACATTGAGGATTTTGCGCAACAACTGAGTGGCAAAAAGGTATTTTCCACAATAGATCTCGTCCGAGCTTATAATCAGATTCCGGTTGCGTCGGAAGACGTCGGAAAAACGGCCATTACAACGCCGTTCGGGCTTTTTGAATTCCCGTACATGTCGTTCGGGTTACGAAATGCCGCGCAAACATTTCAGCGCTTTATCGACGAAATTTTACGCGGTTTCGATTTTTGTTACGCGTATATAGACGACATTTTGGTCGCCTCAGAATCCCAAGCCGATCACCTGCGCCATTTAGAATTATTATTTAAACGATTAAAAGATTATGGCATTGTTGTTAATCCGAATAAATGCACGTTCGGGCAGGAAGAAGTTAAATTTCTAGGCTATCGGGTAAATGAAAGCGGCACTCAACCTTTGCCCGGCAAGGTACAAGCCATAAAGTCATTTCCCCTTCCGAAAAACGCGAAGGATTTGAGGCAGTACTTGGGAATGCTTAATTTTTACCGCCGTTTTATCCCAGATGCCGCTCGCTTTCAAGCACCCTTGAACGACCTTCTAGCCGGCAATTTAAAGGGCAAGACCTCGATAGCCTGGACTTCGGAAGCGCGTCAGGCTTTTGAAAATACCAAAAATAGTTTAGCAAACGCAACCCTGCTTTCTCATCCTGCGGTCAACGCTCCATTGTCGGTTACCTGCGATGCTTCTGATTACACCGTAGGAGCTGTTTTACATCAGTGCGTCGGCAACGAACGACAACCATTAGCATTCTTTTCTAAGAAATTAGGATCTGCCGAAAAGAAGTATTCAGCTTACGACCGGGAACTACTTTCTATCTATTTAGCAATAAAACATTTCAAACATATGCTCGAAGGCAGACATTTCACGATTTTTACAGACCATAAACCCATAACTTTCGCTTTCAAACAGAAATTAGATAAATGCTCTCCTCGACAATTCCGATACCTAGATTACATTGCGCAATTCTCTACAGATATTCAACATATTTCCGGTAAA